ATCTGGTCACCCTACTTGTTGGTAGACTATTCCATAATTATCCATAATGGGGTTTTCTTGGCACCTTCCTCTGATGCATTTGGTACTGGCCACTGTCAGGGACACTGATTTAGATTGACTACTAGTCTGGTCCAGTCTGGTCATTCCTATATTCCTCCTTTACAATGAATAACTTTGCAGAGTGGTATTCACCTAAACATTTAAAAGGCCTGATTTTGAAACCCAGCCTCTATATTTGTGGGTGCAGATCCCAGTAAGCACACATCTACTTACCTGACTATCTGCAAATCAACTAGCTGCATCTAAATATCGGCATGTATGCCTGCAATAAATTGAGTGAGCAAAACTGCACTTGCAAAAATAGGTGGCAAGTTTCAACATCAGGCTGGTTTCACAAAGCATCATGGGAGGAGGAAATATTCTCTAGAGCAGGGGTTGGCAACCTTTCAGAAGTGGTGTGCCAAGTCTTCATTTATTCACTCTAATTTAAGGTTTCGCGTGCCAGTCATACATTTTAACGTTTTTAGAAGGTCTCTCTCTATAAGTCTATAATATATAACTAAACTATTGTTGTATGTAAAATAAATAAGATTTTTAAAATGTTTAAGAAGCTTCATTTAAAATTAAATTAAAATGCAGAGCCCCCCAGACCGGTGGCCAAGACCTGGGCAGTGTGAGTGCCACTGACAATCAGCTCGCGTGCTGCCTTTGGTACGCGTGCCATAGGTTGCCCACCCCTGCTCTAGAGGCTCTCCTTGACCTGAAGTGGTTGCTGGCTACATTGGAAACTTGGCAAAGCCTTCCCCTCAAAGTCCAACATTTTTCAAAGTAATTCATTTAACATGGAATGCATCCCACAGAATCTCCTTTGTCCTGGAATATTCCACCACAGAATAACAGTCCTCTTATGAAAGAATGTTCAAACAAATACCTCCTGCAAATGCCAGGTTTTCTGACAACAAAACTCTTTTCAGGTTGAAATATTGTACTGTTGTTATTATTTATTGGTGATTATGGCCCCTTTTGCTAATGACATTTTATAGAATTACAAACTATAAACAGGTAGGAGTTCACTGAAATGCAGCCACTTTTTAGATGGAATAAGGCAGCCATTTAAAGGGTACCAGCAACACTCTACAGCATCTTAGAACCAGGGCCGCCCAGAGGATTCAGTGGGCCTGGGGCAAAGCAATTTCGGGGGCCCCTTCCATAAAAAAAAGTTGCAATACTATACAATACTATATTCTCGTGGGGGCCCCTGTGGAGCCTGGGGCAAATTGCCCCACTTGCCCTCCCCTCTGGGCAGCCCTGCTTAGAACAGGGTGTATAGAATACTTTGTCCAGTTAAAGCAATGGGAATTTTGCCAGGACACCGATGCAGACGTAAAACACGAGGTATTTAATTGGTTATGACATGGTTATGAATAGGACATTCATTTTCTCTCATCAGGAAACAGTCCAGACCCCCACCCCAATGCTGGGTCACTGGCTGAGTGCTGACTCAGAGGAAGGATGAATTGCTAGGATCATTTCTTGGAACATCTTAGGTTTCCCTTGGAGGTTTCCAATCCAAATCCTGACTAGGTCAGACCATTCTTAGCTTCTAAGCCCTCAATGATCATAGCCAGAAAAAAAAAATCACATTTACTCTAAACACTCCTACTTCCAATACCCTGTTAAATCTGAGCTACTTAACAAGTAATCAAAACAGAGTGCATCAATGGCCAGCACAAACTTCAGGGTCCAACGTGGCTTTGCAGAATCATGCAAGAGCTTTTCCTAAATATCTGCCCTACTTCCAAATGGGACTATTGATCCAGGATTCCCTAGGGAGTAATGCAGGCTCCTCACATTCAACTGGTGTCAGCTGATGCTATTCATTTTACCAAGATGGGAACTGAACAGTGCAAGTTCACGGTAAAGAAAGGACGAGGAGGAAGCCCGGGTTTGGCTTGTAAGCTAGCTCAACGTAGGAGCAAAGACATCTGGATTAAGCAGCAACATGCACAGCACCAGAAACTCCTTCCACAGCAACATGAGGATCTTGTAAAAAGCCAAGGAAGTTTCAGTGACCTTGGGCTACACAGACACTAATCCTGGTCCCAGTGAAGTCAAAGGGAGTTTTGCCATAGACTTTAATGGGCTAAGACAGAGGTGGGCAAACTACAGCCCGCGGGCCATATCCGGCCCGCAGGATCGTCCTGCCCGGCCCCTGAGCTCCTGGCCTGGGAGGCTACCCCCGGCCCCTCCCCTGCTGTTCCCCCTCCCCCGCAGCCTCAGCTCGCTCGCCCTGCCGCCGGCGCAATGCTCTGGCCGGCGGGGCTGTGAGCTCCTGGGGCAGCGCAGCTGCAGAGCCTGGCCTGATCTGGTGCTCTGTGCTGAGTGGTGGCGGTGGCGGCGTGGCCTGGCTCTAGCCAGGTGGCGTGGCTGTAGCGCCGCCAGCCACCAGTGCTCCAGGCAGTGCGGTAAGGGGGCAGGGAGCAGGGGGGGTTGGATAGAGGGCAGGGGAGTTTGGGGTGGTGGTCAGGGGGCGGGGGTGTGGATAGGGGTCAGGGTGGTCGGGGGGGGGGAACAGGGGGTTGAATGGGGGCAGGGGTCCTGGGAGGACAGTCAGGAAGGAGGGGGGGTTGGATGGGGCGGCGGGGGGCAGTCAAGGGCAGGGGTTCCAGAGGCAGTCAGGGGACAGGGAGAAGGGGTGGTTGGATGGGGCAGGGGTCCCAGGGGGGGCCATCAGGAATGAGAGGAGGGGTTGGATGGGGCGGCGGGGGTCCAGGGGTGGTCAGGGGACAGGGAACGGGGGTGTGTGGATGGGGCAGGGGTCCCAGAGGGGCTGTCAGGGAACGGGGGGGTTGGATGAGGCAGGAGTCCCGGGGGGGGGCAGATAGGAGGTGGGGGCTGGGCCACGACCCTCTCCCCTAACCGGCCCTCCATACAAACCCGATGCGGCCCTCAGGCCAAAAAGTTTGTCCGCCCCGGCCTGAGATTTCACCCCAAGTCTTTCCATTGTTGTGAATGAATCCAGTATTTGGCCCTAAGTCTTTCATATTATGCCATCGCCTCTTTCCAACCTCAGGCTCGTCTTGTTCTGTTGTTTCCACATTTTATTTCTGCTGTTAAACTGTAGCTGTGCGTTTGAATTCCTATTACTATGCAAATTTCAACATCCCATTTCTAATCTGTTCAAATCTTGTATCATTCGGAACAGCTCTATGAAATTGTGTCCCTGTTAGAAGCTTGCAAATGGTAATGCTCGGGAAAATCTTTTCTGCCTTACGTAGGACAAGAGCCTACAAGCTGTTGTCCATTAAGAGCAGGTGCAGATAAACTGAAGGGAACTATATTAACTGACCAGCAGAAGGTATTGCATAGCCTGCTGTGCAACACAAGAATTTCTTCCAATTGCACCCCCAAAATATTGACTATCCCAATAGTGAAATCCTGATGGCCAATATGGACCAGGGGTAGCACTTGAAAAAAATGCACATGTAAACCTAAGAAATTGCATGCACTAAGGGTCCCTTAAACATACACTTACCCATTTTGCACAGATGCTACCGTAGGTGCAATTTGTGGCACCAGTCTATGGAAACCTGGCCCTATATGTTAATTGAGAACTCTTCTTGTCCTACCCAGTCCACTCCATCAAACAACCTTTGAATGGGAAATCCCATCTTTGAACAGTAATTTACATTTTAAACACAAACTCTACCCTTGTTATTTCTCTAAACCAGCCTGTCAGTGTCTTGTCACTGCACAATAACACAACTTAGCATTCCCATGGTGTGTTCCATCCCAGGATTTCAAAGTGCATTACAAACAATAAGTCTCACAAGCTCCCTCTGTAAAGAGGCATATGAGGCACAGGGAGGTTAAGTGACTTGCTCAAGGCCACAGGAAGTGTTAGTGGCAGAGCTGAAAACAGATTGCAGATTTCCTGACTCCCACTGTTTAGCCACAAGACTGTGCTTCTCTCCCAAGCTTGACACACATCTAACCTATTAGTACTTCCTTGGAGACTCTGAGAAACACACAGAAAAGGACTTCGAAATTCTCCTGAGGGAAGAATGACCATTATTTTGGTTTTCATTTTGATGTCATGGTTGGTTTTACAACAGGGATAACATGTACTGCTTTGTAATGCACTCCCAGTAAACACTTTGGAGACTGATTACAGATGTCAGATTTGCTCCAGTGCTTCGGTCAATCTTAGGCCACATTCATTGCTTCATATGCTATGAAGCAGTAAAGACTGCCCCAACACTCCAGTTTATTGTTCTCTCTACAGAATAGAATTCATTATCTTTCTTCTGTCTCACAAGAGGAATCATGCCCCTGTCAATCCAGGGAGGGGTGAGCTAACCTGAAAATGTTCTTAACTGGGGATCCATTTGGGAGAATGTGTCTGTGACCGGGTATATTTGCCCTGCCCTGGGCCAGAAGGGGTTAACCCCATACTATAGACTGAGGAAGCCACGCCCCCCTCTCCCTGCTGGGCATGCTCCAACTGGAACCACTTTATAAGAGGGAGCAGTTCAACTCAGTCTGGGGAGGAGAGAGGATATGTGTTGTGTGCTCCTGCCCGGAAGCTGTTGGAGCCCCAGACCGCAGAGGCCACGTACACCCAGACCCAGGCGAATACCCGGCTGTCAGTGGAAGCCCACGAGGAGAAGGAGCCACTGGGAACATCACCTGCAGAATACCCTGGAGAACCAGAGGACCTGCGGACTATGTAGCAGGAAGACACAGTAGGAAGTAGCCCATGGGACCCAGACATTGATCTGGTTGTGGTACCAGGAACAGAGTCAGCCTGTTTCGGTGGGATTCGCGCTGACCCTGGGCTGGGACCCGGTGGAGTAGGGACGACCCAGGTTCTCCTACCTCAGCCACCAACCTATCCCTAGGTGGTGGCCTACTCCCTTTTTGGCAACTAAGCCATACTGCCGGTGCAGGAGGGCAGTCCTATTAACTCTGGCTGCTAGGCCATACTGCCCTGTGCTGAAGGGGGGTCTTATTGACGCTGGCTGATAGGCTGTGCTGCCCTACATATAAGGACAGCTCCGCTGATTCTGGCCATTGGGCCGTACTGCCCTGAGCTCCAGGGCCACCTCACAGACTTGGGCCACTAGGCCGTGCTGCCCTGCATCTAAGGACAGACCCACGGGCTCAGGAGCACCATTGGGCCATCCCGCCCTGAGAAGAAGAGCGATTATTTGGACAGCAGAACAGACCTCATCACAATATTTCAGAAACAAGAAGTGAGGAAACACGCCTCTAAAGATAACTTCTGCTGGGGTTTTTCATTCACGGGTCTTAGTTTGCTGGGGTGAGACTGGTGGAGCTTCCACAGTTCTTAAGAATTCTGACCCCTGAAGGCAGCGATAGGAGGGCAGAATGTAAGACGCGTCCACTGCTGCCAACCACGTGCAGACTATAAATGCTGCCCTCCCAACAGTCCAGTCACTTCCTTTTATCTGACCCCTTTAAAAAGTTTTGGTTCTAAAATGGATGCAAGGTTCAGATAGAGGAAGTTTTTATTTTAGACTGGCCAATTTGTTAGTTTATACCTGATAGATGCAGGGCCACCCAGAGGGGGGGGCAAGTGGGGCAATTTGCCCCAGGCCCTGGGCCCCACAGGGGCCCCCACGAGAGTTTTTGGCGGGTCTTCGGTGGCAGGTCCTTCAGTGCCGCTGAACACACCCGGAGCGAAGACCCGGAGCTTCTTCCGCTCCGGGTCTTCGGCGGCAATTCGGCAGCGAGGGTTCCTTCCCTCCGGGTCTTCGGCCGCGGGTCCTTCACTCGCTCCAGGACCCGCTGCCGAAGTGCCCCGAAGACCCCGAGCGGAAGGACCCCCGCTGCCGAAGACCCAGGTCCCCTGAATCCTCTGGGCAGCCCTGGATAGATAGGCATTTCAAAACCATTTTAGGGATCTGGAGACCCAATTGCCATCAGAACTGATACACAGCTATCTAGGTAGCTTTGATACAAATGATACGTAACAACATAGGTAGTTCTGTAGGTACCTTTTGAAACCCCCAGCCCTGATATTGTCAGAGTGGAGAGATTTGTACCTGACTGCGATTTCTGATGAGATGCGTTCCTCTCGGCCTGGGAGTTGGCACAGGAGCCAGCGTATGGAGGCTGGAACATGTAGCTGTCATTTGGCAAAGAGTGGGTGCGACCTACGGAAGGCTTTCTCACACTCAGCAAGTCCTTGCTGGGGGACAGTGTCAGAGTGTCATCTTTGGAGAGGTGATCAGTCTATGAAAGAAGAGAGAGAAAACATCACAGAGTTGGAAGACCCAGAGAACCTGGAATCCCTAGCAACAGCCATTGCAATAAATATGGGGCACGATGGTGCATGCAAATTGTCAATATGTACAAGTTTCTACTGAAACAAAATGAAAAAAAAATGAAACTTGCACAAATGGATCTACTAGGAAGCTATCCCCTTAATTTTGTAGTGTCACTAAACCATCACACAGAATGAACCACATAAAAATACTGGGAAAAAGAGGAAAGCAACACGGCAGTAATAAACCATGACTATTTCAGGAATACTTGAAACAAGCATCATGCCTCAAGGCCCAACAATGCACACATGCTTTTTGCATAACTCTGATCATATCAAAAGATAATCAAGCCTCCCATATGTCCCCTCCCAAGTTAGACTTTTGCAAAGGTAAGTAACAGTCATCTCCTCGTCTAAGAATGAAGAGCCAATATAGTTCACAGAAGCTGTACCCTGCTTTGACTTCCACTGTCATTTTTTTTTATTTTTCTTTGCTTTTCAAGTCATAATTATTAATGACACTTTTTGGCAGGATATTAAATTTGATTTGTCAGGGGGGATCACTGTTGTAAAATTGGCCAACCAAATTCAAGTTCACTGCCATAAAAAATTACTTTCAGTCTTCATGAATTTGCTGATTTAGATATAAATGACATTCATTAGGGACTGCAGTCTCCTGCTGTAACTCAAATGAGGAGGGCAAGTTCAATACCAGTAATGCTGACACTTTGTTCTGAAATCCTCCTCACCAACCTGCATGCACACATCTTTGTCTACACATCATTTTCTTAATACAAGAGATGGTCCAAAAACTGGAATTTCAAATTCAAATCCATTTGGATTCGAGATCAGATCCAAATCCACTTTCCTTGTTCAGGTTTCCAAGCAAGATTCAAACTCAGAACGGGCTTATTTTCCAGTTCAGATGCAGCCAAACTCTTCTGAGATTTCAGCCTCAAATAGCAGAAATCTTGAGAGAACAGCTAATTTCATGAAAGCCGTTTAAAAGGCTGAAAGGTGATCCCATGAAAAACAGCTCACAAGACTTCAGTGCTGTCAGATTCCTAATCTCTACCCAATCTGGATCCAGACTGGAACTCTGTGTTCCTCAGCCCACCTCCACTAGGTATCTTATTTTGAAACAAAATGTTCCATACAAAATGTTAAATGTAGTTTACAAAATCTTTTGTACATGATGCCATGAAGCATGATGGGAAATATTGTCACGGTTTAAAGAAGATGTAGCCCAAATAAATATTAATTGGGATGACAGTCAACTAGAATGATAGAAAATATATCAACAACACAAACATCCAAAGATAGGTATATGGACAACAACAGAGAAAACAAGAATGGATCCAAAAATGTTGGAAGAGAAGTTATGTCTGTTGTACAGCAGCAAAAAAGCACTTGACCGCTACACATCAGCTAAAAACGTCTAATGTTGCAAAAAGAAGATGGTTAAAGCAGGGCTCAAAATACTGGTAATTTCTTACAAAAAAAGAGAAAGGAATCCAATATTGGTTGCTAATGCGAGTTCACAAAACAAGCGGCATCTCTGAGAGATCCGCAGCTGGTGTATTTCTAAAAAGTGTATCTGGCACCCATCCCCAAAGCACTGGGGGCACCTATGTTCACAAAATCTAGTCTGTTACAAACCAAGGGGAAGTAGATAATCCTTCTGCATAGGGCGCATGAGCTATTTGCTCATGGGTGTGTCTTTAATGCACACAAACATGGATTTGTTTCAGATGCAGAGAAAGTTTCAAGATTCACACCATCTATTTTTGGGGGGTGGGGTGGGGGAGTGGGCTATTTATTTTATTTGAAGACAATGTAATGTTTTTACATATGATACAAAAAATAAAAATAAACTGCCCTCTTCAGATAAAAGATTAGGTGCTATTTGGAGATAGGGTTGGACTGAAAATACCAGTGTGATTAACCATGGGATAGCAGTATTTAGAACCCTGTAAACATCAGAATATATAGTGACCAGTGTATGTACATTGCTTTCCAGAGCATTAAGTAAGAGTGTGTTAGTATCATCAGGAAAAGAGTCATCCGTCAGAGCTAAGGACCAGGACTTTTCAGAGAGAATATCTGACGTCAGAGACAGAGCCTCCATCTCAGCTAGAGGGATCTAAACAAGGGAGAGATGATTAAGCATAAGAAACCAGGACACAAATCTTTTGAAAAAAAAGTATCATCGTCTAAATACTGAAGCATTATCCCTAAAATAAGAGCATCTATGCCATGCACGTCATTGCGGTAGATAAAACCGTAAGGAAGTGGGGTAAGAAAACCCATTACATTCAGCCTTAAATACTCACAAATAACTCACAACATAATTTACAATGGTACACTAAAGGTGCTGTGAGAAATACTGGTTTCTAGGATACAAATTGAGGAATAATAATAATAATAATAATACCTGGCTCTTATATAATGCTTTTCATCAGTAGATTTCAAAGTGCTTCACAAGCTTTAATGTATTTATTCTCACAACACCAACAGGAAGTGAAAGTAACAGTAGCTTAGGAAGTATATATATATATAAATATGTATCTTTATTATTCTGACATCTAACTATTAGAGGCATTGAGAACCTCCAAACTTCTCTGATAGCTCCTATCCCTAAATGCTATGGCAATGTTGCAGTTCTGCTTGACTCTAGCCTATCTTGTTTGGATCCTCGTGAGATACCCTCAACACCAAAATCATCTGAATAGGATGCAATCAGCTGTTGATGTATGCTGCTTTAATGCAGTGTAAAGAATGACACCTATCTAGGGAGCCTTTCATTATAGGATCTCAATCTACTTTCCAAGTGTGAATCCGGTCCATGGTCTCCTGCTGTCAGTGAGATTCTTCCCAGTCACTTCAATGGGCTTTGGATCAGGTGCTAATGGACTTTGAATCATTGATGGGAGTTAGTTAACCCACTTAGGTGCTTTTGAAAACCCCACTGGGCATCTGCATCTTTAGACACCTAAATTTGTTTGAAAATCTCTGCTCCATTGATAGGTCCTCTCTAAAAAAAATTCAAGCAAAATATGCAGCCTTCAATGTAGGGCGCTCTTGAGGCACACATGTCCATCTAATGGGAAGCACAACGTGTCATTGCTTTGTGCTTTGGGGTGGCTGTCTAGACTGCTCAAAAGAAAGGGCAGTGTTCTCCTAACAAAGCAGAGTCACTGCTGGCAGCAGCCTCAAAGCCAGATGCTGGATTGAATGTGTAGGCTTGACTTTCCAAGCACTCTCTCTCAAACCTGATATCTGTCTTACCGATTTTCATGTACTTCTCTATGGGTGTGTGGTTAGTGAAGGGAGTGTTTTATAGGCCTTATATAAAATGGATTCATGCACAATTACAGCTTCTACATCAAGACATAGATCCACAGTGCTGCCTCTAGGGCTCCCAGTACGTCAGCATTTCCTTTCTTAATTCAAAGGATTGGCACTTTTATCTTAAACAGTCTGTTTCCACAGCAATGCGTCTTTCAAGAGAAGCTGTGGAGACCGGAGCCTGCCATATTCAACCTAGCAAAGAGTTGGTTTCTCCCACACGCCTGCTTTTGGAAATGGTGTCATACTAGTTCACCTGGGGCTAATTAAATCTAGTGATGGGTGAACTTCATACGGGTCAGAGGTTTGGTTCAGATAATCATGAGACTGTTGTTCTTTTGAACTCTATCCAAACTCTCTCACCCTCTGGATCGGTGACACAGGGCTGGCTAGCAATCTTACTGGACAGGCTTTCTGGTGGGATTTCCAGTGTGTCCTTTGGAGTCAGGAATACCATGAACTGCCAGTGCCAGAGCTGTTCTAGCATCAGTCACTGTATCCCAGAGCTTCTGTCTCTGGTTGTGGATGGAACCAAGAAACGTAGATAAGAGGCACTTGCAGCTCCTGCACACCTGAGTCCACTAGAACCCAGCTGCCACTGAGGCAGCACAAAGAAGCCAGAGAGATGCCCTAATAGGGCAATTGAGAACTCCCCCAGCATGGCAGATGGATTCCTAGTTGGCATAGGACTGGTATTACCAACTCTATGCCAGCCTCTATGGACCCTCCTCCACAGCCTAAGGGTACGGTGAGGAAAAAGGGGATGTGGCCAGTATGTTTGGATGCAGGTAATTCCTGGCTGGTGTAATGGACCTTTGGGGGCCATTATTAGTTGGGATAGTTTAGAGCAGCCCCAAAGCTCCTCTAAGTTATGTTGACAGCCATACAAACTCTCAGCAGTCCCCAGGACTGAGGAACCAGAAAAGGTAATAAGCTAGCTCGTCCCTTCCATCCCAGTTTTTAAGGGAGACCTCTGTCTGTTGGTTAATAATCCCCAGCATAATGAAAGTGATCATTAACAACTAGAGGGTAAAAAGTTATCCCAACATTGTGAAACCTATAAAAGTATAGTAATCATTGTATCCAAACTTGTTCTTCCTGCCAAATGAAAAGAAAAGTTGAATAATTTATAGTACTCAATGAGCTGGTAAATAAATATACTAATAATTTAATAAGAAATCTTCAGATATTTTTATCTGATAAATTAAAGATCAGATGTTTTTAGCAAAAAATTACAGCACTATTGGATTTCTCTCAGTCAAAATGAAAACAATAAAAAATAAGGGTATTTGAATTAGCCTATGTCATATGAAAAGTGTTTGCTCTAAGGAATAATGGATAGGAGAAAGCAGGAATTTTATTTCAACTAGATTAATTTAAAAAAATTAATTGAGTGGCATTATTTTAACAGTTTAAGGCCCCAGTTCAGGAAAGCACTTACACACATGCTTAAGTCCACTCCTATTGAAGACAGCACTTAAGTACCTTTTTTAACTTTAAGCACATACCCAAGCTTCACTGACTTCTTTGGGATGTAAGCACTTGCTAAAGTACTGTCTTGCTTCCCCTAATTGGGTTCAGATTGGAGATCAGGATCCACTTACAAGAGGCCTATTTAGAGAGACGTATGGGGCTGGATCCTCAGCTAGTGTAAATGGGCATCGCTGCAGAATGGAGAGATGCCATTTCACACCACCCAAGGATCTGGTCCATGAGCTCCCATCCTACAATCCAGTCTGCACGGTTGGATCCCTGCACCTGTACAGTTGCAATGCATGAATCCAATCTCAGGATCTGTGCTACATTTGTTCATCATCCTAAGGCCACTCACGTATAGAGAAATTTAGCTTTGGATTTAGTACATTAAAGAGGGGAGATTAAATGCTGCACACTTGCTCTAGCATGAATATATAATATCTTAAACAAAGATAAATTAACTTGCCCTCCCATAAAATAGTCCTGATGACTTAGGGTTCAAAATCTCTATGGCTATTTTAGATTAACCCCCACCCCCAACTTTATCTTTTCAATACAGGTCTCAGTCAAATTGACTTGGACAGAGACTGTGCAGGAAATTAGGAATATTAACCTGTTTCTCAGAGTTGTAATATTCAGGAGCTGGAAGGGCATAATGATGGCACACAGAGCCTGACAGGTTGTCCATCAGCTTCAACTCTCCTTCCAGAGATTCCTGGATCAGCAGTGATATGGTATCAAACAAGTGTCTTTCCTGGGAGGGGTGCCGTATAGCATGCAGAAGGATAAGGCAAGCCAGAGAGAGAGAGAGAGTAAAGGGACAGAGGAAAACAGAAAGAAGAAAACCATAGTTTTCAGAGAGAGATTAGCAGTAATAGAAATGATCAGGAAGGAAAAGGATGAGATAGAGGAGGAAAGAGAACAGTGCAGTAATTTCACAGTCAGAAGCTTTCTCAGACATCACTAGAGACAGGACCGAAGCCAGATGCCCCGGGGAACGGTGGGACATTTCAGGCTTGGGCCCAACTTCAGACATTACTCTCATCCTGAACGACCATAACTAGTTATTCTGAGTTGCAGGAGTCTGGCAGGGCCATTGTAACAGAATCCAATTGCTTGTTACTGGGAACTTCTAAAGGAAACTATTGCTGTAAGACGTCTATGAAACACTTAACGGCAACGTTTTCAAACATGGGAGTCTAGCGTTAGGTACCTAAATCCATGCCTGGACACCACAGAAATGAAAGCGGCCTGGCTGTTGGAGGTGTCAAGCATTCTCCGACGGGGGTTGTGGATGCTCAGCACAGGTGAATATCAGGCCACTAATTTACGTGGGTTGGATTAGGTAAATATGGGTTTAGGTTCCTAACTTCAAGCTCCCACCTTTAAAAATATTCACCTTTGTGCATACAGCAGAAATATTGTATATGATAACATCTAATTTTCACAAACAGTACGGGGGTCAGTTAAAAGCTGTCCCTTTTATGCAGGGAAGAGCCAATATGTACAATGAAATGAGGACCTTCGTTACAGTCAAATGGCACGCAATACAAATATTCTAGGGAATATGCAAGCAAAGGCGCATGCTGACCACATGACCTTGCAGGAGTGCATTCTGAGAACTGTATTCCTCTACCATCATGTATTCAAACACCAGATTCGTTGTGGAGATTTTGATGGGAAGGAAAGAAAATCATCCCAGTTATTTCAGAATAAAACCGTCCTGAGGTTTTCAAGGCATCTGTTTTGGTGGAAAGAGCAATGAACAGAGTCTGGAAAATATACAAGAGGGTGGTATAAACCCTCCTCCATAGCCGCTCCAAAGAGAAGACAGGCCAAATGAAATTTCTAAAGCTTCTCAAACAGCTGATGGTATAATTCTGATTGTTTCGCTTCTCCACCTACTTGTTTGCTCAGCACACTGATCTGTGACTTCGCTGAAGATGACTGGCCATACTATCTTCAATCAATCAATTAATCAATCTATCTCTCTACTCTCTACCTCCCCCCCCCATATATATATCTAAGATATATTGATCTTATTCTGCATCCTCTATATATATATAAGAGGATGCAGAATAAGATCAATGTAGGATAATCCTAGAACAGACTGAACCAAACAGATTGAAAAGATAAAGGAGAAAATCTTGCCGTCTGCTGCAGGGATGCTTTAGTGTGGAGGAAAGGACGTGGCCTATACACTTGCTCACCACACAGCAGCAGGGCAGGATTGCAACTCTCTGCTTGAGAGAGAACATTAGGTTCTGAGACTAGCTACAGTATTGGCCAATTTTACCCAAGCAGGGCACAATCAACCCATCACTCCCCAAGCACAAAAGCTGCGGTGTGCAGTATGTGCTCAGAGGGTGTGGATGTGTCTGTTTATGGGGGTGGTGAAGGAGCAGTACGATGTAATTTACCAAGGAGGTCCCCCTCATTACCCTGAATCACGTTGCCTTGTGCTGTCAGGACAGCTCTGGGATCCATCTCATACCTCAGTGATTTTTAATAGCGAGAGACATTTTCCAACGGCTTAGGAACTGAACATGAGTTTAGAGTTTACTCTGTCTTCATTCCTAAAGATCACAAATGAGTTTTACAGCCATAAGAATACTCATTCGTTTGCCTAGTAAACAGGGCAAACAGACGTCTTTTAATTCACTCATGTGAAACTCAAGACTTTCTATTTTATACGTAAAAAAAAAGCTAAATAGGTGGGTGTAAAAATTAAACACAGTTCCAGATCTTGCAGCTATCTGGGCATCTGAATAGAGACTGGACCATTCTTGTGTTTGTATAATTGTACTTCACGGCCCCACTAACTAAATATGGAGACGTCTGGATCCCCTCACTAACCCAGTCCTCATTCAGAAACTGTTTTTGAGAGACTAGCGGAACTCGTTTATAGCTCACAAATATAAGCCGTGCAGTACCATCAGCTACAGAACTATGGCCCAGAGCCTGCACTATTAAAGTCAATAGGAACTGTGCCATTGACTTCAATGGGAGTAGGATCAAGCCCTCAGTGGATTCGCCTATTATTAAAGTAATCGTTTCCCTGGGAGCACTGGTTCAGAATGGGGGTAAATATTAAACTTAAAATTTATATTTTATATAAACTATTTAGCATTTAAAAGAAAAAAAAATGCAGCAAAATTTATTCCCGCCCCCAGCCAAAACCCTGGATTAGAACATCCCCCCAAATTTGGAGCCAGATCTGAACTTTGTGGCTTGGGCCCATCACTAGAACAGACACAGAGCTCTTTGCACCTGAACAGAAGTGACAATCTGGTGCGAAGACTGGTTCAGGATCTCTACATTGTAGCATAGATTATCAAAACATGCAGCAATTCAGTCAACAGATAGTGAGGAATACAACTCCCCAATGCACTGTACACTCAGTCCTTCATTGGAATTCGTGCATATCCTCCCTTAGCAAATATGCAGGCCAACCTGCTCTTCAACCTCCACCTGAGATTCTCACCATAGGATAAAATAATGAGAGCTGAGAATCCACCTTGAATTGCATGGGATTGGTACATCCTCTGGGGCTCTCAGGTCTTTCTCCACCATTACCGCCTGTCCATGCAAAGAGGTCCGAGGCTGGGATTGGGCCTGGGGTGATAGTTTTCATTTCCATCTCCAGCTCCGCTTCCAGCTCTGCTTCCTCTTTGGCTTCCTTGTTGCTCTCTTCCAGGTGCTTCATGAGCACTGCAATCACCACGTTCACCAGGACGAACTGGGCCGTCAACACAAAGGAGACAAAGTACATGGGCGAGATGACTGTGTTGTAACAAGTGGACTCCGGGTCGCAGTCACGCAATGTGTCCTGGTGATAGGGGGAAAATGATTATGGAAGCTGAGGAAGCTCCAGTTAACCGCAGAGGGCCTGATCCGGCCATCGATCACTCAGTGCTCCAGCATAAGGCTCAAAGGGATTAACTGTCTATTGAGCACACACAGATGATCAGACTAGTTTCATGGAAAATTTTCAGATCTGTCTAGAAGGGCAAACGACCCCCCAGCAAAACCTCAGTCATTGGGGTCAGGTGTGCAAGGTGACATTGGAGGGGAATACTGCCTTGAACACAGGCTCAAAGACAACAGTAACTATTCTCAGTGCATTCCAACAGGCGGCACCTGTCTGCTCCTTTATACTCCCAGAGGACTGGCTTATCCTAGAGTCTCCATTCTGAAAGGCCATTTTGCAAGGTTAAAGTGCAACTATCCTAACCGACCCAGACCTCATCAGTTGCACAATTGTGTTATTTGCTCCAGTGTATAATAATGAGCCTACCGGAGACTCTAGTTCCCTATACAAAACAAGCTACTCAATTGAACTAATGTCACTCCATAGAAAACTCCCTGTATCGCCCTCCTTGTCCTCAAGCCACCACCTCAGGAAAAGCCTGGGAACTTACAATGCATCTGAAGACCAGCAAACCCAGGCACTGTCAGGCAAGAGGAAAAAGAATTGCTTTGAGAAAATGCCCAGGCCCCGAATCAACAAGTCCAGGGACTGTCATAGCTTGAGTGCCCCAGCTGATCCCTGTTATTGGTTTGAAACAGTGACAGACAGCCTGTAAGATTAGAAATTACCGTCAATATTCATTCTCCGGGGATCTCTTACCTTCATTATCCCATTCCAATTGTCTCCTGTTGAGACCCGGAAGAGAGTTAAAAAGGCCATCCCAAAGTTTCTAAAAGTGGCGTGCCGCCCTAGCCCCTCACAGTGGTGAGTGTCATCGCATTCTGTGTGATCAACCAGAAGAATCTTGTTTAGACATGAGCTCTTTCACATTGCCCTTCTATACAACTATTTCCTTCTGCTTCTGGCAACGCTATGTCTGTGGAGAACTTACCAAGGTCGCCAAATAGCTCCACTCCAAGAGCTGCAAATATGAAAAACAACAACATGAAGAGAAGACCGAGATTCCCCACCTGGAAAGAGAAAAAGAAATGGGGGGGGGGGAAACAACATTAGTTGATTTTTTTTCCACACCTGCTTTTCCCTGTATTCTTTCATACAAAACTTAAACTGCCTGAGGGGAGATATGACCTGGATACCATCTGAGACTGAGCTTCTAATGGTAAATGCAATTTTCTAATGACAGTGAAGACAAAAATAAGGGAGACGGTCCATGAGCACCCTTCTGCAATAAGAATTTAGCTCTGGTCCTGATGAGATTTTTTTCTGCGAAGGCAATGAATTACCTGAGGCAGTGCTTGCATGACTGTGTCCAGCAGGGCTCTCATCCCTACAGCCATCTTCAGTAACTTTAACACTGCAGAAAATGATAGGTTCATAATATTACTGCTGCAGCATTAGTGTGAAGACACAGATTTTAGAGAGAGGAAGATCCCTCAAGCATGAAATCACGTCACGTGCTCTCCATTAGCAACTAAAGTTCAAGGCCTTGTTATAGAGCTCTGGGTTGTCCAGATGCCGTTAGAATCCTGTGAATAGCAGCATCGTGTGTCTTGAGGCTTCAGGAAAGAATCACCATTCTCTCGCTTTCTCTGAATTGGGCAATGTTGACACAATGCTAGGAATGTAAGAATGACCTTTTCTCCTGACAGTCTCTTCTGCTGAGGGAAGTAAACAGGTTTAGAAAGGTCAAGATACTACCAGATGTACATTCCTTTAGAATTCTGCTTACAGCTAAACAATTAGGAAGCCAAATTCACCCCTATTGACTTCAGTGGGGCTTATACCAGGGATGAAATTTGGCTCATTAGGGTTTTCTCCTACTTGGGTCTTGAATCCAGTACTAAATATACAACCCTGCAAATATCCTTCCCTAAGTTACCATCCCTGGATCTCTTTTTTCTTCCTCTTGGTTTGGACTAACTACCTTCCGAGTTCTGCGGCTGCCTGCCTTCATGTTTGATTGACATAGGCATTGATTTGCATGCTCTTGTCTGTAAGATTGAGTTTCTCGGTGGAAACGGCATGTGCTTTTCCTTTTGAAATGTACCTAATGTGACAGACATTTCCCTTTCTTCTGAGACTTCCTTTCTGGCTTCAGCTACATTTCATCTATTTCCATTCTTTCTTTGTTCCAATTAGAATAAATAATACCACCACCACCTTGGCCTGACAATAATGAAGCTCTCAAAGCACTTTACAAACATTTGGAGCCTGATTTCCAAAGGTGTTGAGCACTTGCAGCTGACACTGACATTATTTGGGGCTCCAGGTGTTCTGCTCTTCTGAAAATTAGACCCTAACTAAGGCTTGGTCTACACTAAACCCCCAAATCGAACTAAGGTACGCAACTTCAGCTACGTGAATAACGTAGCTGAAGTTCGAAGTACCTTAGTTCGAACTTACCTCGGTCCACACGCGGCAGACAGGCTCCCCCGTCGACTCCGCGGTACTCCTCTCGTCTAGCTGGAGTACCACAGTCGACGGCGAGCACTTCCTGGTTCGACTTATCGCGTCCAGACAAGATGCGATAAGTCGAACCCAGAACTTCGATTGCCAGCCGCCGAACTAGCGGCTGGGTGTAGACATACCCTAAGTAAGTGCAGTAGGTATTATCATCATCATCACTAGGGTACATCTGGATACAAAGCAAAGTAGACATGTTGTCTCACACAATACCACGAGGTCACGTGGCAAGGGAAATGAAATTTATTAACCATCTTGGGGTTGTTTTTTTTTTAAATCAATTGCTAACTCTTTAACTTATGGCTGTGTTGTGCCCTGAAACCCCTATCTAGTTTCCAGATCTTTGAGACATGCTTGATTTCTTGAGCATGCCAAAGTTTGCTTTTCCAGGTTCACCCATCAATGAAGTTCACAGTGGATTCTCTTTGCTAAGAAGATCTAGATCTGCAAGTGCTCTTAAGAAATGCAGGGCCAGTGGGCTCAGCTCCTTGGCTCTTCTGGGATGTTTCCCCTTCTTTTGTTCTCTTATTTACTTACAGTTTGTGGATGCCAGAACAAAGTGCACTACGCTGGGCATGTGACATGCAGTTGTTTCCCAGTCATCTCATGGGCAGAACTGCTCACTGCACCTCAAATAAAAACGATGTTCACATTGACTCTTGTCTTACCTCGAGCAATCCTTAGCACCCTCATTATCCGGATAATGGTGGGGTTAATGGGCAACGATGCATTCACCTCAATCTCTTCCAAAGTGATACCCATGATAGACAGCAGCACTATTGCCAGGTCTAATTGGTTCCATCTGAAGACAACACAAAATCACATCTACTAATGTATTTGCAGTGAGCGTTGGTTTGTTTTAAACACATTCCAGTCATTTCAGTGGTGCTAACGCTCACAGACACAAACTTTTGAAACTTTTTTGAGGGGAATTGCACAAAACCCATTATTTTTAGATTATGGAATCAGCCAACTCCAAAGAAAATATAAAACCACGACTGGGCTTATACCCGATGATCCAGACATTAGGCCAAATCCTGCAGCCTTTATTCAGCCTTTTGTCTGGCAAGACTCTCACTGAACTCAATATGAGTTTTGTCCAAGTAAGAACTGCAGGCTATGGTCCAATGTCCAATCAATCACTGTAACACAGTCACATTGGGCAGAAGGCAACATACCAAGATTATACCATAATGAAAGGCACTCTAGAAAGACTTGAGCTAGATAGATAGAAAGGATGAGCATAACAGTGCTGTCAAACTAGCTAGAAGTTGGGGAGGAATGATTTTCTCTAGGGATGAAGTCTGGCATGAATCCAATGCTCTTGACATTCGACTTGAGGAAGATGAAAAATGCGAGGTCAGAGGTTTGAGGGGGGCCACTATTAAATGTATAAATATCTTAACTCAGTTACAGCTCATCCTAAGCCAACAGAGGCCAATGTCTGCAGTTCCTCCTGGTCTGTTGATCTCACCAGGACAACTCTATCCAGTCCACAATGGGAAGAAAGTTCAGACTTGCCAGCTGTCTGGTAAGGCGAGAATTCATTTCATGATATAACAAGAACACAGGGTTAGATTTAGACCCTATGCAGCTCCCAAGGAAGTCTCAAGGCCAAATTCACTAGTGACGTACGTTACACATCAGGCGCAAGTATCTTTCCCTGATTTGCATCACCCTTGAATTTGGCCCATTATCTACTGAGCCCTTACTACTGTCACAGACTTGCAGGATTTAATCTTTGTTACCTGTCTTGAAAGAACCGGCGAAACCCAAAGGCAATCAGCTTGAAAACAGATTCCAAGACAAAGATGACAGTGAAGATGTAATTGCAGATCTTCAGTGCCTCATCAAGAACCTGGAACATGGATACAAAGTTGAGGTTAGTGGCTGACTTGGCTGGACGGTTTTGCTGCTATCCTGTTTTCACCAGAATTTGCATTTAATAAGAAATAAATGATGACTGACGAAGGAGTGGGGATCAGGGTTATGGCCCCTCTTCCTCCCTGCTCACTTCAGTCCCAGGAGGAACTAGTAAGGAGAAGTCCCTGCGTTTAGGAGAACGCAGAGACTGCAATTGTGCACAGCCCCAGCACAGCCCGCACCATTCACCCCTGTGCAGAGGGCCTGCACAAAGCCTATGCACTATTCAAGTCCCTCTTGAGACTGCTCAACGCTGGGAGCAATGCAGTCTGTAGTCTGCAAAACATGTAAGGACTCTTTAGATGAGAGTGATTCACCAAGGAACGGTTGCATCCGTGGGCCTAAGTGGTGCAAAGGCCTTGTGTGCTAGCACTCTGCACGTTCAAGGCAAGGGGAAGGCACTTTGCACCATACCTGCCCTCGTGCACCAATGCGTGAGCTGCAATCTGGCCCAAGGTTTGTACAAATCTTGGCACACGCAACAGGAAAGTAGCCATAAGGCTAGTGCCTCACCTTGAGCTCACGGCAAGGCATGAGATATGGATAAAGCATCAGACAATATTGAATTCCCTAGTTCTTTCCCCTTTGCTTGTGTCACCACCTTGCTGCTAATGATCATCATCACCGCCAGCAGGGCACCTATTACACAGTCGATCGCTAGCTAATGGTAGAAGTGGTATTATTCCAAAGGTCATATTGGTAAAAGAGGGCAGATTTCCTTTGTAAGCAATGTGCATCATATTTCTCATTGCTGAAAGGTGTGACAGTAATAGCTGGGTATGGGCCATAGGGAGGTGATGTGGGAGAGGGTGATATTACACAGATCCCTAGCTGGGGTGTGAAAGATTGTGTCGTTAAAGTTCAGTGAGAAAGCTGCAAGTGAGGTAATGGCATCCCGGGGTTTATTGCTAAGTAATTCAAGAGGTGATAATAGAATTGGATGTGTTTCCAAGGGGTAAGTAAGGCCATGTGGGTCATGGCAGTTGCTTTTAAAGGATCATCAGACGTTCTGCAAGCTAATGCCATGATTGTGAGCCATCGCTGGGCAGGAAAGGGGTGATGGGGAAAGAGCAAGACCCTTTCTCCCACATTCTGCCCCTGTACCGAGGCTGAGCAATGCCATACTTCCACTGTCCTGTGATTCTATGGTGCTGTGGGTCCCATGAGTGCAATCCTCCCCAGTCTAACTGGTCAACAAGGATTGTCCAAGTCCAGCACCATTGCTGGTCCCAGGCTCTCATGTGAAGCAGAGCTAGGTCTGTGGTGACGGAGAGTGCACCTGCTCCAAAGGCAGCAGCTGTGCTCCCCAGGAGGCACCACATCTACCAAGAGCGTCTCATGCATCTCAGTACTAACCCCCTGACTGCAGATTGTGGCTTCATGGCACAATTTACTCCACATATCGATCAAGAGAAATCAATTTTCCTGTCACCGAAATGCAGCCATATCTGGGGAAGAAAGCCGCAGCTGTTAAACAGCTCACTGCAACACTGCAGAGGAGTTTAACTCTGCCCAGTCAAAACTGCACCGGTAGAATGTAATTAGCCAAAGCAGAATTTAATCCATAGTTGTTCAAACTGCTTATGCCGCTATCCATACGGCAGCACTGCTTGTAAAGTGGCCATTACTCAGCAGCGATATGTACTGGTCCTGCTTTGAGCAGGGGGTTGGACTAGATGACCTCCTGAGGTCCCTTCCAGCCCTGATATTCTATGATTCTATTCTATGATTCTACTGGATTTTGACTAGTGTCCTGATGACAAAAGTCCTTTCCCTTCCATATCCCATTACCAATCCCGTTCACCACCCCGGTGAAATATTATGTTGGATATAAAGCTCTTAAGAACATTTATCTGTTTAAACATCTCCAGGATAATAATCAGACTCCAGATTGGACTTAGTCACCTGGGCTCTGATTCAGCAAAGTACATAAGCACATGCATGACTTTAATCAGAGAAGTAATCCTATTCATCTCCGTGTGACTATTCTCATTCTAACATTATTATGTACACTTAGGACACTGGGGTCTTAGATAACGAATTTTACTTTCCTTAAGGGAAAAATATGATGAATGTTTTTATAATACAAGTAAAAATGTCGCTGTGGAATGACTTTAATAAGCACAGGCCCTAGAGTAATTCTAATACAAGCTTCTTAGCTAATGACTGATTTAATCAGAAAGTGACTGACTCACGTAATGTGCTTCCCAGTGTATTTAAAGGTGACCTGGAAAGGAAAAAGAAATTGGGCTTGTGCCCTTTTACTTTTTGGCTAGCTTATGATGGGTTGGGGGGGGGAGGGGAGGGTCTGTCTTTTTTTCCCTTTACTTGTTATTTACATTAGACATGCAGGTCCTGTCTAGTCTCAAAGAATATTTCACCCTTATTAGGATTTGCATTTATTCATTTTGAAAGGAGCTAATAAAAAGAATTACAATTTATACAGCAGCAGCAGCCATTTCCAGCTCATTCTTCGGCACAAGGCAGTCGTCTTCCCAGTACAGGTTGTTCTTATTATCATCGGAACAGGCCCAAGATACAGGAGCCGGACACGCTTAATAGATTAAGAGTCTGATTTTCAGAAATGCAGGGTAGCCATAACTCCGACTGAAGGCAATGGTATTCAGAACCTTTGAAAATCAGGGCCTACATGTATCTGCTTGCTGAATGTACCGGGTAGGCACTGAGGCAAATCTCCCACTGGCCATGTCTCCATGAGGAAAGGTGCATTTTTATTAAGTATTAGCTAAGGTGTTAAAATCCTAGTACAGGCAAGGTGGTTGTAGTTATAACATGTATGTTCAAATACACCTCTTCTAGTGTAGACATGAGCAGTGGGAGATTTGCCTGGGTAAAGAGTTCAGGAATTGACCCAGAAACTTTACAGTCTTCTTACTAACCGTTACCATAGAAACACTTAGTCAAGGAGACGATTTCAAGAAAAACTAAATCGCTGCCAACTGGCTAGAGGAATGTTCATCCCAACTTTTACCACTACGGTAGCTTTGTTTTTTTTTTTTAAACGTTCTTAGGGTATTTATAAAGGGTAAGAGATGGGGAAGCTGAGGTACAGAGAAAAGTTACTTCCTCGGATCAAGTAACACTAGCAGGGTAGCATGAGTTCGAGGCACCCTCCTGGGACCCTGGGCACACACTCAAGCATCTGGCCCATGCCGTCACAGCTTTACTGCTGTTTGTTACTTGAGCTAGCTTTGCTCTACGCCTACGTGTGTGGCAGTCACACCACCGGATGGTTGTATAGACCTACCCTAAGTGACTAGTTAAGGGGTCAAGCAGCAAAACTGGGAACAGAGGCCAGAACTTCCAACTCCCACTCCTCTGCTCCAACCACATTGCCTCACTGGCTAAGGCACCAATGCTGATCATGCAAAACCATCACCCAACAGATGAAGTTTTGTAAAACTAAACCAGCCCTCGTTCTGCCCATCTCTAGTGTTCAGTGAAAACCGAGACCATTTCTTTCCCCCATTCCATCACTGGCTATCGCCAGCTTCCTTGTCTCCCGGTACCTTCGGCTGCTGGTAGTGCTCCATGGCCATGGTGATCACATTTAGGCCGATCACTCCAGTGATGAACAAATCCAGGTAATGGCTCGTGCACATCTGGTGGATCAGGAGCCGGAAGCGAGAGTAATCGGAATAGTAGGGTTTACACTGGGCTTCTGAAATGGGGGGCGGGAAGAGTGGAGAGGCAGATCAGCTCATTACTCTGTGTCTCTTAAACATGAGTTCACCTTCCCTTTGCAAACTCCAAAATTGAGGCTTTCCACATTGATCACAATAAGGCTTTGGGTTTTTTTTCCTGGGTGGTATGTTACCAGCCTTAATATGTAGCATGTCTACCAACAACATGGATCCGTTTAAACATCTTTAATGTAACATGCACAATACTCAGCCTTTTAGTATTAGAGATGAGGTGAGTACAACTGGGACTATTGTGGGCTCCAGGAACTGTTTCATTGTACAGAAATTAAAAAGCCCTACTTTTTTTAACTTAATGGGGAAACAAAAAGAATAAATAGACAAAAACAGCAGCTGAAGAGCCTGTTCAACAATCAGATACTGCACAAGATCGGTATTGACAATGGCTTCGAGAACACAGGCCCTTCGTTTATTGGTCTTATTTGAAGAGACGGCAATAAACTCATCTCATCTCCTTTGCAGTGAACTATAGGGTTAGACAAAATTTGACACTTCAGAGGTCAGAGCTCTGAACAACATTGAATAAATACTGTGGAAAACTGATCAGTCTACCTTAATGTCTAGAAAAATAATCCTCCATTTATACACAATTACGGAATTGTAGATTTCACTGTTAGACTTCCATGCTCAGTTGCATTGGGGATGACACATGCTCTTCAGACCCTGAATGTTTCAGGAGATAAACTAATTTACTCACCTAATCTCTAATGAGGAAATGCCAAGGCTGAGTATATAATTCAGCACAATTTTCAAGGAGGCATTATAATGCAGATTGAAGTGGAAAGGACTGTCTTGAATATGTCAGTGTATAATATTATCCTCATAATTAGATGATCAACTGGTTATAAAAATTATTGAGCCGAGAGAATTACATGGCTCGAGATTTAGCAATGCTGAACAAATGTGGGGTTTGATACATTATTCCAAATAGAAATTTGGGCATAATGAAGCCATGAAGTATAGGTATCAGTTACCCAGAGGGAAAACGAATTTTAAGTTTTGCTGGGGATATAATTTGGTGTGTAGATGGCCAATGATTCTGCAACCAAAGCCATAGGTTTAACATCACTGTATGCCCATTGCTTCACGGCATGAGTTCCCGAAAATCACAGAATTTTTGTTTTTTCACTGAGACAGACTTTTCCCCTAAAGCTTAAGAACCAGAGACAAACCATTTAGCAGCTTATATGGGAAGGGTTTGGAACTCCCAACATTCTGCTCAAGTGTCATAAAATAAAAGGCAGTATTAATATTCACTTTTGGATGTGCAATATGCTGAAGGTGATCTGTACTGGAGCGCAAAAGCATAACAGCAATGAAAAGGTCTATAAAATAAATGTTAATGCTGAATCTATTGAGCACTTAACAAAAGCCAAGACTGGTGGCTTGCTGACTCACCCGACTTTTTGTCAGGGATCTCAAAATCTGCATAAATCTCCATAAAGCCACGATATCTTGATCACATTATGCTAAATTATGAGTAAGAAATTAACTAAAATGTTTGAATACAATTAAGTTAGCAATAGGGCCCAGTTATGAACCAGGTTATAATTTCAAAAAGAAACACCATCATCATTCGATCACTGATTTCTCTTAGGTTTCTGTATAATTCACATTCAAAAAGGAAAATGTCAACATTTCTGCCTCTTCTTGCAGTGGATTTACATATGAATAATTATACTGGAATTCAAATGTTTTAGCTTTGATTGGCAGGTAATTCCAAATCCCACAGAACAGCACTGCAGCTCTTCGAATATAGCAGGGATTTACAGAGAGGTTGTAAAATGTTACCTGTGCAGAGATCCTGCACCTGGACTAGTAACAGCATGGCCTTATAAACAGGGTTGCCAAACCTTCCTCAAAATATTAACTGTTTTTTTACCTTTCAGTGAACATGGCCCTGGACTTTTCAAAGTCAAATGCTTTTCCTGATTGAATTTGAAAGTCAGTATCACCGACACATCTGCAACACTACTAATTTACAGGCCGTAAATATTTTAGCCCCTGCCAGTAACTTTATGAATAGGGGTTTTCTCAACCCTGTTTATAAATCATACCACCACTCGTTTTCCCTTTCTCAACATGCTGGTCATGCATATTAGCGGAACACAGATATTACCTTGAAATGAACCACAAACAAAAATACCGTGCTGCCTGTGGGCTACAAATTAATAGCTACTGTATCTAGGTAGGCAGGGAACTTTTTGAACAGAGCAGTTGCTCTTCTTGCTGATGATATAAAGAAGCCGTATTTAAGATGGCTTACACAGATTGGCACTCTCCAGGTGTAAATTCCGTGCCCCCTATCAAACAGCAGTATTCATATTTATTGCAGAAAAAAAATCTAAACAATACCAACATCTTGGGAAATACAGACATCTGTTAAGCTCCAGGTGGTGAATCTCACAACTAACACAACACCACATTACTGTACTGTTACAATACACTGTGTCAAGAACAACAAGAGCTCCAGATTAGTCTAGGTTATTACTGGAAAGGTTAGATCACTTCCTGACACACAGAGAATTAAAGAAAAAGAAAAAAAAAAGGGCAGAATAAGACTGCAAGAGGATGCGAGATACAGCAAAAGCCCACGACAAATCTGGCAGATAAACAGGTTCTAAATCAAGCTGCTTTGCTGTGGCTGGGTGAAGAGTGGGATAGGAGAAGGAATGAACTCTAATATTTAGATACAATTAAATTGGAAAGATCAACTAACGCAATGAAGGTTGGACAATCTACTCATAAGTCTCATTTCCCTACTACTCCTGCCTGATGGGCAGCGGAGTCCATTGTCACAGCTGCCCAACATTGTGGGCACTTGGTTTTAGTTGGTCATTTCCAGTGCCCTCATCCAGGCAGCTTCCTGAATAGGGGTCCTATGATGATTATATGCGCCATGCAGTGGGGTCGTTATTACAAAGGATTGCCTTAACAAGTGCCAGGAAGTGGAACCGATGAGCCCAGTGGGTGTCGGTTCCCCCATAATCTTGGATATTAATCAAACCATTCTTGTAACAAGTAACTATTACAGTGTGGCTTCCCTCTGGAAAGCGATTCCATAATTCAGTGATTCATACTATCAGTGACTCACTTGCTCCGTGTATGAATAAAAGTGATTTTCCTAACTGCTAGTATCGTAACTGACAGTCAAGCTCTGTTATTTCTGGCTTGCATATCACCAACAATTAAGACTGTGTGCTTGGAATTCAGCAAACAATATTATTGAGGATGCAGGAGCCAAAAGAGAATCCAGCTCCCTTTCTACTAGCTGTGCTCACTTGGTAGGGATAGCGGAATAAAACGCAGCAAGAGACCAGGTTGGACTCTGAATTCATCCCTGGAGAGTAGGAAGTTGCCATTTTTCCATAGTCACTTTTCAGAGTAGAACTGTGCTGAACTGCACAACCAGTGGAAGCTGGAATTCACCAGGGTGGCATAGTTCCATTAAGGAATGCATTTCTTTGTAAAGGTCTGTATTTACTTTGGGGATGTAAGCAGGAAAACAGTGAACTTTGAACACATTAAGCAGCTGGATTTACAAACTGTACTGACAGAATTAGCTTTAAAATGTTTTGCACTGAAGGAACTTTTACATTTAAACACATTGTTTTATTCGGCTTTTATAACATTGAGTGGCATTTTTAAAGCAAAATGGAAAATGATAAATTATTCCCACTGAGAAGTTTCCAGCTGTGATAGGATATAGATCCAAAATAATAACAGTAATCTCCACTAAACACCAGTAAACAGCACAGACACACAGTACTCCATCTCATCGTCACATAAAGATAAAGGAAGCCCTTTGTAAAATACAAAGACATATGGAAGTTCTGGGTCCTCAGCTTAGGATTTCTCATCATGCTACAGAAGGTTTGACTGGTACAACATCAATATTGATTCCTTAGCATCACACAACAATTCAGAAAGAGGACTTTCTATTCTTTCACTTTGATGACTGAAGAGCAGCACAGCACATTCAATAATACTGGTTCCAATAAAAGACAACGAAGGAAATACAAAAGCACAGATCTGACAATCACACACTTTTAAAGGTAAACTATACGTTTCTTTCTGAGTCTGCATTGGATAATGGCCAGTTTTGGAATGAGATCAAAGCATTCAAACAAAACAAAACAAACAAAATGCTAGATGAAGCTCTTGGCGACCGGAAGAGGTCTTATGTGGTGAAGATGCTCACAACCAAATTAAAAACAAACAAACAAACAAACAAAAAAAACCTAGGGCCTGCTCCTTCAATCCTTCCCCAGGCACTGATGTCTGATTAAGGGGTGGAGGATTGGACTCCTAGCAATAACAGAGAGGATGAAGGCAAGGATATTAAAACACAAGGAGTGGCAATGGTGAGGAGATTCAGATTCATTAAAGCATGTTGGGTCATTTTCATTCTAAGAAGATCAGGATGCTCCTTTTGCCTGAGTTATTTCTCACCAATGAATGAGCAACATTGATTTTCCATGGGAGTTTTGCCTGACTGAGAACAGCAGGACCAGGACTCATTGTCTCAAACTGGGCTGCCCTTTCACTGGAATGGTTTTTGGACATGTAATTTTCCTTGAATGCACTTATGGATTTATTTCAATATTAACAAATCTTTAATTATTCAGACTAAAATTCTTAACAATTCATGATTTTAAAAAAGAACTACTGCTCAGATCAAAGCTGCTGCTTCTTAAAAAAACAGAGGAAAGATCTGCAGCCTGAAGCACCTTCTGGTGAGTAATGAATGAAAGGGGGAGAAGTGAGTTAAGTAGACAGGAGAGGGTGAGATTAGATTCTTAGCAATTCTAATCAAAGCTCCCCCATCTTCTCCAGGACTCTGAAGTTTGTTTCACCTGACTTACAAGATCTGATGTACTACGGCTTGTAGATACTAATGAAACTTAAACATTCTTTCTGCAGACAGGGCTGTGGTGTCAATCAAACTGGTTAGAAATCAAGAAAACATTTTTTTCCCCTTGAAATCTGAAATTGTGGTAAAACAAAAAATCATTAAAATTTGAAAAGTTTCCACTAGCTCTAGTAGGGAAATTGCAGTGAGAATAAAAGTGCTAACCTCACATTTCCTTCCCCAGCTCCTCAGGGGTTAATGGCTAACCTTCCATTGACTCAGGACCCCATTGGCACAGAAATAAGGCCATTCAATGGGGCCCCGTAGCTAAAGCCCAGAATTCAGTGAGTGACCTCCCTACAACTTAGTTCATACAGCTGTGCTCTGCCAGATGGGGGAAGGTCCTTGAGATCCACAACAGAGAATTTGTCCATATATGGCACACGTACATCTCCCCAAGGTGCTCAAGGTATCTGCACAGAGCTCTCAGCTGGTATGAAGGACCTTGTGACCCACCCAAGGCTGTTATCTTCTCTACCTGTCCCTGGTCGAGCTGGACCCAATAACCTGGGGACTTTCTGTGGCTGTAAGTTTGACAGCATGGAGGATGAAATCTACCCCTGTGCAAACTGCCAGCATGGGGCCTATATCCCACTTCCGCTGTAGGGCTATGCACTAGCCTTATGCACAGGGGCTGGGTTTCACTCTGAGGTTAGCCGGTTTTCTCTTCCTGGAATACTAGCAATGCAACAAGCTAGTTCTGGAAAAATACCCTACTCTAGCTGGGTCATTTGGCCTCCAGGGATACCGCTGCAGAATGTTCAGAAACGCCTAAGGGTTTACGGTTAGAAAGTGAGTGTGAACAACACAGGACCCATTTCAAAATCCAGTCACTATTCTCAAAAACAAAAAGTCTGACAATGTTTGGATGAAAACCGGAAAAATGATTAAAAAAAAAACAAACAGAACCCCCGCCTCCTCCCCCCCCCGCCCCGATAAAAGGTGTAAATTAAGATTTGCAAGTGCCTGGCCTGAGTCAGGTCTGCAGACCTGCCAGTTAAAGATGATACGCCTGTGCCATGAAGTAAGCAAACAAGACTTCCACCACACACACAGTTTAGTGGGATGCCTCACAGCAGCATTGGCCAGCCGTTAGTTACACAGCACTGCCATTCAAGTGAGACGAGACGTTAAGATTTCCCAGTACCTTGCACTGCACTGGCTGAGCTCTCCATTATTACATCATCCAGCATTAGATCTAAAAGAATGAAATGACATTAATCATCTGGCAGGACGCGCGGCAAGAGTTTCATTCCCCTTCAACAGTTTCTACAGTTCTCCCGTCAACTAGCCAGGTCTGTAATGGCTGTAGCACGAAGAGTTCTAATAATGTTCTCTCCTAGATATCTTTTTGGTGAGTGGAATCTGCTATCCCTGCCCCTTCTGATACAGTGGGGTAAAACTAAGGGCCAGATGCTCCCCCCACTTACGCCAGTGCTACCCCAATGGACTCAATGAGGTTGCGGCAAGTTAACTGACAGAACTTTCCCCCCTTAAAAATGTAGGGCCAATTCACCCCAGCATAAGACCTACATACCACGTGGTTTGAGTAGGACTTATGCAGAAGCTTTAGCAGAGGATGAATTTCACATTAGCAGAGGAATAGCTAAATTTGCTGCTTGCAATCCTGCATACTACACAGCTAGGTTCTACATCTGTCATGTAAGCTCTGTATTGGTATGCCCATATGTTTCTCTTTTTCAGATGCAGCACTCTGTCCTAATATGGGAATAGACTAGCATTTAAAAAAACGACCGTGCAGTCAGTTAAACTCATTCCTACTATTAGCTACAACAAAAAAAATCAGTGACAAGGCCAACTTTGACATAAAGGAAACCCCAGTTTTGCTATCGTGGATCTGAGGGTAGAAGCAAGCCCCTTATCCCGAAATGGCATGCCAGTTACAACTACAGACACCTACTTGTCATTGAGAGCAAAACTGGATATATCCAGTCAAAACCAACATTTTCATTGAATGTTAACTGAGAAAAGCTTTGTTCTAAAGCTTTGGAAGGCTTCATGTCTTTCTTTTTTTAAGGAGGTTTAGCACTCAGCAGTCTTCTGTTCCTCAGTAGACGATCTGGGTATTACCTCTTTAATTAGACATTTTACAGAACTGAATGCAAATATCCACATCTCCAAGGATGCTTTGGGATTCTTTCCCAGACCAGCCTTACGTCTGATTCATCTTTTTTCTTCTAGCATTATACATAAGGTCATTCATAATATCTCTATATATTTATTCTAATGACATTTAGAATGTTTTCTTTCCAAAACCAAACCATACAAAAGGGACATTGGCATCCAGCATGTCGCTGTATGGTCTAAGGAAGCAGCGGTCACTCAGCAATTGTGTCTGGGAATTCAGACTACCCTAAAGCGCTTTCGATACATATTAATTGTTTGGAGGGAAAAAATCCTTTGATATATCAGCTGTATCCCATTTAATTGAGACTGACAGATAAGATCCATAACTAGGAGCTTTATTAATTGCGTCCACACTGGGTGAAGAGCCACACAGTACTGGTTACATCTCCCAAAGTTCACTGGGCTCATTGTAACACCCAGAAAGGAACTGGGGCACAGTCCCTTCTTTGATTGATCCGCAGTTCTGAGCAGGAATCTGGAGATGCTATAATGTACCCAGGATATTAGAATATTCCTTCTTTAGGCCCAGATCCTGCAGTGCAGGCAATCGGGCGCTGTGCCGCTGCAGAGCTCTGGCCATGCCATTTTCACTGCAGGATCAGGGCCTTAAGCCCTGATTCGGAAAAGCACCCTATTTGGGACAACATATATGCATTGTGCTTAAATACCATAGAAATCAATGGGATTTAAGCACATGCTTCAAGCGAAGCACATGCTTAAGAGCCATGCTGCAAAGGGATGGATTTAAGCATGGGCTTAAGTGTTTTCTGAATGGGAGCCTTAGTGATATTTGTGCTGCAGCAGTATAACTAAGCTCATCGCAACTTTTATAAACCTTTCAGATTGAACATTATCAGCTTTCAGATTCCTAGCACAAGCTCCTGATCAGAGACAGACTCTTAAACATCACTGACGTCCGTCCAAGATAGAAAATGAAATGTGAAAGAAGTGGAGACAAGTAGTAAGGAGACCGAACGGGAGAAGGTAACAAGAGAGATACCATGAAGAGATGGGCATTTGAAAAAATGCAACCAGAACAGAAAGCATGCAAGATGGAGAAGAGTACCTCTGGCCTTTGACCTCTGACCTGAATGTTATTTCCTGCTTTTTCAACCAAACCAAAACTGAAGTAAAAAGAAAAAGGTCAGGTTTTTAGACTTTTGACAGAGTGTGTAGGTCTGGCATCCTTTCCTTACGCTACATTACAGAATTTTTAAAGCTACATTATTCTAAGAGGGCCACAAGTTTGTGTCAAGCGTTATCGTTCAATTTATCTCACATCAATGACAGTTCATCTGGTTAATTTGTCTTATTGAATTCTTTTTCAATCTGTATTTCTCAAGCAAACTCATTGATATGTATCTATAGGGTGTTTTTAAAAAGCATTTCTAGAATAAGATGGCTTCATTATTTTATTACATCCTTGAATAGCCCTAGAGCTACTTTGCCAACAAATTAACCTGCCTGATAAATTAGACAGGTAATGTTGCTGTGGCATTACAAGGCTGTAATAAACCAAATAGTGAATCCAGTTATCAGCAACGGTGCTCGAGACTTGGAAGCTTTATGGCCTAGTCTGACACTGTTGATCTTTGCAGTTGTCACTATTTGTGTAACACTGAGTTGTGCTATCCACGAAGCTCCAGGTTCGGGTTTTTGGGTTTTAAATAACCTTGTATGAAAAGGTCATTGCAAATCATGCAGCCATGACTTCCTGCTCAGCCTAACATGGCGCTGTTTCCTTCATGCAAATTTCATAGCTTGGACATGCTTTTTTTTGGAGGAGAATGATCATCAGATGCTAGGCAGGGGTTAGGGGATTGTGTCAAAGGTCAAGCAGGACTCAGAAAGATGTGGAAAGACTACCGACCAGCCATTTGTTTCTCCTTACTCCTTCTCTTTTTCTCCAGCCGGCGAAGTCTCTTCTCCTCCCGTCTCTTGGCTTCTTCCTCCTCCTGGTGCTGCCGACACTTGTGGAAATTCTCCACCACGACCCCCACGAACATGTTGAGGACGAAGAAGGCCACAATCAGCAGGAAGGAGATGAAGTAGAGGAGCATCCAAGGGTTATAGTTCATAACTGGCTACAGGATGGAGGGAGATAGATGCCAGTTGAATTACAACAGGCAGAGAACGGAGCAAACTGAGAGTAGACAGATTCTTGCTAGTCAGGCTCGAGCTGGGATGTTAAAGAGAGCAATGTGGAAGTTGCAGGTCCAGCTGCAGTTTGGGGTCTCAAGCCTAGGGGGTTGGATGGGCCTGAGCTGCGACATCCACATGGCTATTTTTAGCGCACTAGCTTGAGCCCCACTAGCACAAGTCTGTCTACGTAGGCTGGGAGGCTTGCTTCCAGCCGCAGTGCAGTGTAGACATACCCTGAGGAGGTAGACGGAGCAGAACAGCAAGGCCTGCTTTCTCAAAAGCAGCTAGAGATGTTGGGTGCTCAACTTAAGACACCTTAAAGATGACTTTCAGACAGCAGATGCTCAGCACAATCAGGCTCCTTTGAGGTGTCACGAATTGGGCACCCAAAGTCACTTGAATACTGAAGAGGCGTAAATGGTCTGTTGTGCCAAAGAGTGAGGCAACAGAATCCTTTGCAACTCTCCCAGGCCAGCAATAATAGTAATCTGTACATAGACAAAGTAGCAGCTTTCTCCAGAGGTGCTCAAAGACTCTTCAGGCTCACAAAAGCCCTCTCAGATAGGTAGGGTTCCCCATTTTACAGCTACGCTGGACATTTCTTCAAGCACCATAAGTGGGTACAATGAGCTATTGACACTTATGTCATAGCATGGTTTTGTTGCAGTGTATAACTAGTAGAGATGGGTCCCAGTTGGAACCTTTCATTTGACCTCTGTCAGGCCCGCGCCTTGGTTTGGATAAAATGGAACCCAGATCCAAACCACCCCCCAATGTTTCACTTTTGCAAGACGAAAAACGTTTTGCAAAATGAAAACCAAACCATAGCCGCTTTGGCGGCTTCTCTCTACTAGGCGTTCATCTAGAAAACATACCTGCTGGTCAACTCCTACAGCATCGAGGCCATCATACATGATGTCCACCCACCCATCTTTGGAGGCCAGAACAAACAGAGACATCAGGGCCTAGAAATGCAAGGGAAAAAGTTGCATTTAGTTGGAACCCAGCTTATTAGATGCTCTCTTTTACCTGTCACATTCAACTCTCCTTTGCCCTTCTCCATTTTGGGATTTGCATTTGTGCTACTATTTTACCTTGCCGATAATAGGGAACTTTTGATGTCCAAGGTTTCCTGGCAGCAAAAACCTGTCAATGTCAGACACCGGTCCAGCAATAAGGGCTAATTCGAAAACCACAAAGCCAAACACAAAGGCAGCTTCATTTTCACCCTCCAGGTCTCCACTGCTCATTACTAATTAGGCCCTACCATGCTGCTAAAATAAGGATGTGCTCCATCGGCAGTTGTAAATGAATGGGATGTTGAGATGCACGGGGTACAGGATGTCCAGCCACATTAGTCAAGCCCTGCTGCTAGATGTATTTAGTTTATTATAGAGCAGTGAAGCAATTAAGTACACCGTGAAGCTACTTGTGCTTGTCTTATTCCAAAAGGAAGTGTGTGCATGCTTGGAAGCATTGCATTTGGGATTTACAAATGCAGGGTGGGTGTATATGAAGTGAATAGTGACTGTGGCTGCTTAGACCCCTGTAAGAAAACCCTATAAGTAATTATGCACAGATTTTTAAATCAAGGAGGTAAAGGAGCAAAGAAGCAGATTACCATTCCAGTAATACCTGGCCGAGATTATCAAAATTATACTTGTGCCGGACCCATTTGTAGCTGGCTTCTGCACAGTCTGATTTGTTTGTGATGTTTCTGGTATCCTCCCCTTGGCAGACAAAAAACTTCCCTTTGAAAAGCTGTAAAACAGAAGAATGAGAGGAGGGGTAAATCCACTTTGTTTACCTGCACAGAATGGACAGCTCACTCGGGACCTACTGTGCAGCCCACACAATCAAATCAAGTTAAAGGTAAAAGCCTCGTTAGTGCATGGCACTCAAAGCATGATGCCTGGCAGAACAATAGTGACAGTCTAGTTCAAAGGCACCTACTGAGAGAAAGCTTGAATGCCTCCTCTAACATAATTTAGGACACTGATCTTGAAGGTCTCCTTGCAGGGGGCTGAAGGTCTCCTTGCAGGGGGCTGGGTAGCCCCTAGGACTAGGACTATCCTCTACAGCCTTCTGCTTCTAGGGCACTGGTTCAAATCCAGCCCAGGCTTGTAGGTGTTACCATCTGATGGCTGGTCAGTGACCTATGTGACATGAGTATGGTGGTCTCAGTCCAGTTGCCAGTGAAAAGTCTTACAAGAGTGGCCAACAAAATTAACCCTAATTCCGCCCTTTGGTTGACAGTCTTTGTTGGCAGAGGAAAAAAAAGGAACCAGTGTGTCAGAGCAATGGAATACGTTCTTATTCCCAATGGTCAAAGTGAGGAGTGGTGTGGGCAGAGCCTCGTTCTCCTGCTGGACCTGTGGGGTGGATCAATGAGACTTCTATTTCTAGGGCTGTTAACCCTAGCAACTTTCAATGACACTAAATCCCCTTGCTTGAGAACTGTTCTCCATCAATCATTAGACTGCTTTTCAGGAGAGTCTCTGCAAATATTTTTATAACCAGAGTTTAAGAATGAACTCCTATTGCTCCCTGGTGCCAGATCCTGGTCTCCCTTTCACGGCCATAAAACCATGGACTCCAGGGGGGTTCCTCCCGATTTACACCTCAGAGAAGCATCAGCTGCTTAATTCTAGACTTGTTGCTTTCTGCAAAGCGGCACAGAAAATGGCAGGGCACGATTTCTATTTGGGACGTGGCAATTGATGGTGAAATCTCAGTGAACGAGACATATAGGAAATCCTGTTCTGCTGAGTGACAGCGTCTTGCCATGCTTCTCTGGGACAGAGCAGCCTTCTATTCAGGCTCCTTAAATACCACCTGTGTATTTGAAAAAAGAGATGCTCACTCTTTATGATCTGTTGTTCTAGACAAAACAAATACAAGCCCCGGAGAGCAAAACAAACCCATACATTACTTAATGTATTTCCTTTGGCAGCAGAACACTTTCCACTAGAAGGGCAGGGATACTGACTCGCAGAGCTAACCAACATCTATTGTAGCCATAAAACTTTTAGATCTAGGACGGCTATAGCTCCCTTAAGGATCCGCATGGAGATAGCTTCTTCCAAATTAAACAGGAAGGTGAACACTGATTTTAATACATTGGCTATGAGTGTAATATCTTCATGACTAGGCGTGTAATAATATTCAGATGGGCCCTGTTACACAACCATAAACTGGAGAGGAACATAAAAGGATCTGATTTGCAAACACACTGGGCGCTGACAGCTCACGTTTACTGGCAGCTCATGCTAGAGGTTCAGATTCTCAGCACTTCTGAAAATCGAAGGTCCAAAGTTTCAGAGCGACTCTGGCTTTTCTACTTCCTACTCCTGGCAGTTAATGACTATCCACACGCTACCATGATGCACACTTCAGAAATCTATGTAATACGATAAATAAATAGCAGGCATTCCAATGCAATCCAGTGGGCAGGAGAGTAGACTGGGGTTTAGGAGACGTGGGTTTCATTCTAGGTTCTTGCACTTAGGCAAATCACAAACTCTGTGCTTCTGTTTCCTACTCTGTCTGTCTGGTCTATTCAGACTGTAATCTCTTTGGGGCAGGGACTGCCTTTTCCTGTTAACTCTAGAAGATTGAATCTTACTATCGATCTTCATTTTATACTTACATGGAGGAAAAAAAACCATGCTAATGCTGAGCAATCTAAGATTTGGTTTCTTTGATATAAATGATGGCCTTGCTTTTACAGTTATTCAGCATGCAGAACTCCCATTGACATCACTGGGAATTTTGCAAGCTGAATGCAGGATCAGGTCTAATGTTTGTATGTAGAGCTGTAAATGTGTCAATGTGTAATTGTGACAACTGAATAGAAGACCGGGAGAGGCACTGGGGAAAGCTATCACAATTAGCAGAAAGGAAATTCAAACAGCTCAGTGTGACAGATTTTTTTTTCCTGTTATAAACTCTTTTGGATCTGATTATTTTGTTTTATGGGATGTGCTTAGTTTTATGGCCCTGTCTAGGGCAATGGATGGATGTGAAGTGTAATGGATGGATATCGCGCTGTACCTATACATCAATCGAGATGCAAAAATTGTCACGAATGGGATGATTCTTCCCTTTTGTTCTGTCGGGTTTGAATGCTATATTTATTAGTTATTTAAAGTACATTCTTAATGTAAAATGTTACGAAAGCCCTCCTGTCCAAACTGGGAACCAGTTTCCAAGCCAGCTTTGACAGATCAAATAAACTTCACCAGGAAAAGAGGAAACCGTGCTGAAATATCCATCAGATAGAATCTCTTTCTTTTTCAGATGATTAGAAATTATTACAAGGAGATGGAAACTTTTCTCCAGTCTCTTCCCTTGGGCTCCTGCACTCCAAGGACTGGGGATGACGACAGCAGATTGTATCCAGGTTGCTTGACACAGCAGAAGGCTCAGAAATCAATATTTTCACCAGCTTCTAACTATGTAAACTTTCAGAACCCTGCACTGAGTCTACCGGGACAAGTTTTCCTTTGAGCTTAGAAGCCAGTGGATTCCCAGCTATGAAAGTTAGAGTTTCTATTTTCCATGAGTTTAAAGCTGGGGAAAAAAGGGGACATTGTCTCTCCAACTTTAATACCACAGATAGGAGACAGAATTGAATTGAATAGTTTCTTTGGACTGGGATTTCCTAGTGGGACATGGTAGGGATCTGATTATATTAACTATAGACTCAAATTCTGCTCTGGTTGGTCCTGGGGGAAGGACAGCCTAGGTGTAGCTCAGTTCATGTTCTGCTACAGGAACTCTGTCAGGCAGAGCACAAGTCCTCATGGTGGGGATGGAGGGGGCATGGTGAGGAGGACTCTTGGCTGACACGCTGAGTGGGATCAGCATGCCCCCTCAGTCAGTGCTTGTTTTCGGGTATGTTTACATCGCAAATTAAGTTGTACTCATAGTGCTAGTAAACCTGCACTAGCTTTAATCAAGTTAACACTGGTAACAATAGCAATGAAGATGTGGCAGTCCAGACATCAGTACAAGCCCACTAGGAACCCTGGCTACATGCTCAGGGTGCTAGCCCACATCAGGGTCCATGCAGCCACATCTTCACTGCTAGTGTTATCTGCTCTAGCTAAAGTTAGTGCGGGCCTGGCCTACTCACACTACAATTACACCTTAACCTGTGGTATAGATGTGCCCTTAGAGAGCAGTATTACTGTATGCACTGGTCAGCTTGAAGGGGGTTAGACCCACCCACTAACCCACAGATCTCACCTCCCCGACAGAACCAAGAAAGAGGTTGAAGTCATACCACCATAATTTTTCATACCCATTGCTGCGCCCACTGGTACTAAGAGTGCACGTGTGTGAAGTCTAGCCTATGATTCATTTTAAAAGCCTGTGAAAAGTGCAAAAGACTCAGTAAGCCATGGCTAGGGCTGGAATAATATGAATCTTGCTCTTTTCATGCTATTTCAGTTCCTGGAATTACCCCAGAAAGAAACTCATCTTAATCTGGGCCTCTCAAAGACCTGTAGCTCGCAAACAGTGGCAAAGATACCAAGATATTCCTCTTTATTTGGGCTTGCCTCTATTTCCAGCTTTGCCTGGATTCCAGGCAAAGAGCCCTGCAGGGAACCCACCTGGACTCCCAAGATTCCAAAGATGATGAAGAACGCGCAACAGATGACCACAATGTTCCCAATAGGCTTCAGGGATGACATCAGGGTTTCCACCACCAGCTTCAGTCCTTGTGCTCGACTAATGACCCTTAGGGGGAAAAGCAGGCACAAGAAGCAAGTTAGACACTGTCCTTGCAACATTCCTCTGAATCCTTCCATGCTCCGAGGCACAGGCATAAGTGTGGACTAGGGAAACAGCTGTTTGAAATGGGGTGTGGCTGAAAAACAGGAGAGTACAAGAGGCTATGAAGGGACTGAGATCTAAGGGAGGTTGGGGAAACTTCATATGTACTCGGGGAGCCTCGTGTGTGGAATGGGGAAGAAGAGAAGGTGCAGGTGGGAATGCATACGTATTAAGAGTTAGGTACACAGATCTTGATCCAAAGCCCACTGAAGTTAGTGGAAAGGCTTCTGTTAACTGCACTGGGCTTTCGAGCAGGCTCACAGAAAGGGAAAATTACAGAGTACTCCCATGTCTTCTTCTCCCACTCCATTGCCTACACCTCCCCAGTCATGTCCTTTTTAACCACCTTATTAAAAAATGAATACAGATCTAATTTTAGTGACCTCTCCATGTAAGGCACACCTCCCGCCGCCAGGCCTGAGAAATTCTATTGTCTTCTGGTTGACCCCTTATGCAGCACTCTCAGTTCTTGTATCTTTCTTGTAAAGAGCTTTGGCACCTTATTCCAATCTAATACAGTAGAACTTCAGAGTTAGGGACACCTCGGGAAGGGAGGTTGTGTCCGTAACTCTGAACAAAGCGCAGTTCGGGCTCCGGCTCCAGCAGCTGACGCTCCAGGCTTGGCTCCAGCAGCAGCTGAGCTCCCTCCTCAGCACCGGCAGCTTCCTTGCAGGCAGCTTCTTTCCCTGGGTCCCACTGAGTTTGAGAGCTTGTTCCTCTCCCAGCTGGGGGTGGGGTGTGTGTGAAAACAGCATGTCCCTCTCCTGGCTGCGGGAGGGAGGGTGAAACCAGTGTGTCCGCCTCCCGGCCGAGGGAGGGGTGAAAGCGGCGCAGACCCCAGCACTGGTCCTGCTCTGCTGGCTCTGGCTGCCTTGGGCTGGCAGCTCCAGCATCTTCACTTCCTAGCTGTAAGTGGCTGCCCCGCATGTGGGGGTGAGGACAGGCAGCCCAGAGGTGCCTACCTTTAAGCTGCAATACAGGCACAGTACAGTACTTGCTTTTGTTTGTTTGTTTGTTTTGGTCTCTGCTGCTGTCTGATTGGTTACTTCTGGTTTCACATGGTGTCCAATTGACCGGTCAGTCCGTAACTCTGGTGTTCGTATCTTTGAGGTTCTACTGTATGTCAGATGTGGTCCCTCTGGCCTCTTGTACTGCCAGAGATAGATCTGATGGTTTTAATCTAACCCATTGTCACTCCCAGATCTATCTCCTGATTAGCACCTTCTAGAGCACATAGCCAGGATGTCATCTCTCCCCCCACCCATTGTTCATCAAAGCCTCATCACTTTGTATTTTTCTATAATGCAATTTGACAAGCTCTCTCGGTTCTGGTCTGGATCCCATCTCCCTTTGGATCCAGCCTCTAGTTTTGTGTCATTCACAAATGCATGCACTTGGTTTCACTTTCTCTCTTCCTGGTCACTAATACACCATTTGAACGGGACTGGGTCCAACACAGATTCCTGAGCCACTACATTTCCTACCTTCATCCTATCTTACTTCTACCCATTCACTGCTGTGACATCAGATATTCAACCACTTTTGTTAGTCAGCTGAGAACTTCACCACAAGACCATAAGCAGTAACCTTCAACGCTACCTCGAATTTCATAACTGTAGATTAGATTATACTGTAGGGCTAAGGGAGAAGGCACAAGCAATCAATAGCAAGATAGAAACAAGCAGGAAAACAAAGGAGTAGAAGATGAACTACACCGTTATACCAAGGGCAATACTTGAATCAGAGGACTAAGCTTGTTTATATTAAAAAAATCCATCAAGTCATTTAGGGACAGATTTACAAAGGTATTTAGGGTAGGTCTACACTTACCCGGTAGTTCGGCGGCAAGAAAATTGAACTTCTGGGTTCGACTTATCGCGTCTTGTCTAGACGCGATAAGTCGAACCCGGAAGTGCTCGCCGTCGACTGCGGTACTCCAGCTCGACGAGAGGAGTACGCGAAGTCGACGGGGGAGCCTGCCTGCCGCGTGTGGACGGAGGTAATTTCGAACTAAGGTACTTCGAACTTCAGCTACGTTATTCACGTAGCTGAAGTTGCGTACCTTAGTTCGAATTGGGGGGTTAGTGTAGACCTGCCCTTAGGGGCAAATAGGTTTCTAGTGAGATTTACAAAAGTACCATTGACATCAATGGGAGTTAGGGGGCTAATACTTTGTAAATCGAGTCTTTATGGCCAAGCTGCTTACAAATGTAGGCATGGAAAGTCAGGCATTGATGCACAAAAAACGTCCAATTGTACCCATAGAGCGGTGTGTGTGTGTGTGTGTGTGTTTTGGACATAGGTTTGAAGGCTCCTTTGAAAACTTGGCACTCAAAATGTAAAGCACCTGTTCACTGATGGGACAAGGATGTCTTCCTTCCTGACTGACGTCACCATTCTACACTGATCCTATCAGGGGCTCCCCAAGGTCTCTCCCTGCTCTGCCCAGCACAGTATCCCTCTGCATTTTCACCCCCCGCCCCTTGGTATGTTTTGCTTTCCTATCTCAATAACCTGCCTCTTGCCATCTTAAAACAATTTCCAGTCTGAGTTCTAGTCTAATCTCCATCCTCCCCAGACTGTGTCATTCCCCCAGCAGGGGTCACTGTGGGCTCGGACGTGTGACAGCGACGTTTGGCTTTATTGAGGTGCATGACGGATAAGCCTCATGCTCTCTGAAAGTTTGCATTATTCCTTGTGTGTCTCTGTGCCTATAGAGTTAAACTCCAGAGCTATGTGCACAGCCATAAAATAATGGTGGGTTTTTTGTTTTCCTTTTTTTCTTCTTCTAAGAATTGTTGGCTTTAAACAATACCCTGAAAAACTAAAAAAAAAAAAAAAATATTTCCTTCGTTCTGGTAAAATATTTACTCTAAATGTCAAGGGTAGCTTGTCAATTCCCCTTGTAAAAAAGAAACAGATGGTGATATTTTTATCCACTCCCTACCAACACAACACAAAAGGCAGATGCTTCTGTTTTGCAACCTGGCTGTTGTGCTCAGGTAGCAGTTGTTGTTACTTATTACACTCCCTGGCTCCCTGTCTGATCTGCTCTGTGCTGTTTTCCCGAGTTTGGAGAGGACTGGATGGCTCAGGGAATGTAAGGAGTTCTGAAGTCTTTAACCTTTAAGGCTGTGAAGCAAATCTAAGCCAGGCTGGCAGCAACCAAAACAAATCATTACCCTCAAATGGCAGCTTAGCACACTATGTTAAACATGTTTGTTGATCTCAGTCCAGTTCTGGGTAGGCAGGGATCCACATCACAAACAACAAACACTGTCCTCACTAGCACCCTTTTGGATAGTCTCAGCCGACAGACTAAAGCATGTGAAGACTGAAATACACCCAGATCAGGACTTAAGCATGTTAGGGGGAAAGCTTGCACTGTCTCAATCAGTTTGATGCCTATTCTGTATATGAATCCTAGGTACTTTTATGCCTCTCCATAACTGTAGTATCTGAGCACTTCACAATCACACACATTCCTCACAACAGCCCCACAAGAAGTGCTATTATCCCCATTTTACAGATGGGAAAACAGGGGCACAGAAAGATTAAGTGATGTGCCCAAGGTCACTCAGGAAATCTGTGGTACAGTAGGAAATTGAACCAGGTCTCCTGAGTCCCAGGCAAGCACCCTCCCCACCCTTCCTCTCGTGAGGAAACTCTATTCTGTGGATATAATGAAGAAATTCAGTCTCCAGGGCCTGGCAACTTTCACCAGCACCAACCTCAAATTAAAGATGGAACAAAGTGATTTTCCCGACAAGACACCATCTGAGTTCCAACACAGGGAAAAGGAATAGGAGGTCATTCTTCTATATTGGCCAGCAGAGGATGCATGTTGAGAAAGAGGGGCTAAGAAATTATATAACCCTTTGGTTCTTTCAAATTCCTAATCAGAATATAATCCAGTGCATCTGCGTCATGTCTGCACTGCAGCCTGCACAACACCCCGCTGCTTCTCCTGTAACATTATCCCCAGGCCTACAGAAAAAAATCTGAAGAAAAATGTAATCCCAGATGTACGCCAATGGGCTGAAGGAGAGCTTTCCCGACAGCTGTAGAGAAATTGGAGGAAAAGACCTCATGAGCCGACCTTATTAGCATAGACACACCACCTACTTTGCCAAGTGACTAATTTTCGCTGTTTTGGGTTAAAATTCACTTAAGCCTTGAAAGCAGGGGTAATTAAATGCTTTGAACCTTATTGTACAATTAAAAGGCATACTCACTCACTAAACATGGGGTAGTGAGTCATATCCAAGTGACACTCAGAGGGGGTGGGGACAGATCTTCCTATCTGGTAGGGAGGAGTTTGTTTAAAGGTCCCAGATGCCATTTGACCCTTCCTCGCCAGGTCTAGGGGCTGAGCCTTACATCGGCCGTGGAGACAGCGTGCAGTGAAAGGCAATGCAAGTGTCGGCAGGCTCCCCACTACCCAGTGAAATCACTAAGGTCTGGGTTCGGTGGTGGAACCTCAGAACACAGCTAAAGGTAGCCTGGTGAGATCAGCAGCAAAAGCAGCCTCTTGCCCAACAAATCCTAGAAGAATGATTACTAACAGCATGGGGCTGTAGGGCTGGACCCAGCCGGACCATGGACTCAGCAGAGCAATGGCAGAGGCCTCACTCGCTGGAGGGGAACCCACCTGAATGCACTCCATAATGCTTTGCTGACGTTCGACAACAAACCATGAGTGGGGTGCAGTGGAGGGAAAGGGGGAGACGCATGTTAAAGAGACGGTCATCCATTGGGCTTCCACGCTGCAAGGTGGGAAGCTGAGGCAAAGGACTCCTGCCCAAGATCCTCCGGGCCGGGTGCTTTACTTATTGTCTGCATACTTCTGAGTCATTGTTGCTGTGTTTTCCCCAATTAATGCTGCGTCCCCTCTCCCCTTAATA